TACAATTACGGAGTAAGCAGTTTGGTTTTCGACTGGATCGAGCAGCTTCTCCGACAAAGAACCATGTCTGTTCGTGTTTATAGTTCATTATCTGAATCTAGCATCGCTCACTTAGGGGTTCCGCAAGGATCCGTACTGGGGCTTTGTCTTTTTCTTGTATTTATAAACGATCTATCGCATGCCCTTGGGCTAAGTACACTCCTATTTGCAGACGGCGCTAAAATCTGCAAAATAGTAACATACAAAAGATTATTTGACATTCCAACAAACGACCAATACAGCCAATTAGATTGAATTCAACGTTTCAGATTGCGAAGTTATTTCCAAGTGGCACCAAACTCGTTTTTACCATGCTCTGGGGAACCAAATACTACCGCATACCATCTATGAAAGGGATGCGGAATTTATGGTATAGGTAAATGTAGGATCACACGAGATCCATGAATGGAACGGATCTCACTGAAAAATTTGGGCGTCGTGCTCATGATTATTGAGGAAAAGTTAGCTTGTCTTAGCCACAAGAGAGGGTCGAAACGTTGTCACCAACGCCTTGTGTTTTGTTTTTCACTCGTCGTGGCTAAGACAAGCTAACTTTTCCTCAGTAAATGTAGGATGTTCCAGAAACTGTGCCAGAGCATAATCCATGGCTATAAAGCAAGCCATACTACTTAAACGTGTTTTCGGGCGGTTGAAAATAGCACTGTTCCCACGCTTGCTCCCAACGTTCATTCGACAGCACGAAATGTCGTTCAAGCATGGAATCCATGGTTGAACCACGCCAAAAAGGTTCTAGAACATCCGCAATGGATGGAAACAAAAACGATGAGCTGCACTTTGGCGTTGTATGATGGCTTGTGCACCTATCTGATCCAACGGGCTACACAAAATAGCTTTTATCAAGTTAGGAGAATTTATCATGCCTGGAAGGCCAGACAAAGTTCAGCCTCCTGGTCATCCAGAGGGCGTTCGACTCCGGTTGGCGTCTCAGTCGGTAGAGGAGTAATCAATCCAAGCAAATGAGCCTTGACTTCTCTTTACCCGCTGCCTTGCGGTCAGGATCTTGTTGGAACTGAGGACTTTGGACGAGAGCCCTATTCGTCCTCCTGCTTAGTGGCTGGATACCTTGGCAGTACCCGTTTATCAAACTCTAATGCATACACAAAATATAAATAACTCCATACGGGATCGGTCGGCGCGCAGGATAATTAGGACCGCGCTGATCATTGCATCGAGTGGGGTGGGTAGTGGCGTAGGCATTGTACTCAATAATACAGTCGAAGCCGCATTACTCGATTGGATCCCCATCAACAGTCGTTTATGTACACTGCGGCTCCAAGGGTCTATCAGCGTTCAAAAGAAAAGCAAAACCAAAGGGTATTTATTCATCATTTCAGCGTATGCACCGACGAATGGTACTTCTGACGCACAAAACCTGGAGCTATATGATAAACTCATCGAACTCATTCGGTTGAACCGAAGCTCTGGTATAAATGTTCTTGAAAATGAGTTTAACGCGCAAGTTGGAAAACTGAGCGCATCATAAGCTTGCCTAGGCATTCGTTGTGCTCTGCCCTACCAACGAACAGATAATGGCGGACGACTTCTCCAGTTCTGCGCGGATCATCATCTGTTCCCATCCAGTTCTAATTTCTGATACAGCTATCGACGGAAAGAAATGTGGCGCTTCAGTTCAACTCGTATGCTAACTCCGATCGACCACACAGCAGTAAGGTATAGTTGGCGTGGCTCAGTACTAAACTGCANGAATCTGGTCACGCATTAATTTTGATGCAGTTCACTCTACAACTCACTGATGGAAGAAAAGCTCACCGAATTCGGTTAGCAGACCATTGCTTATTAGACCCAGCCGTTCGCGCACGCTTTGAATCAGAACTGGGGCAAGAGTTAAAGGCAGCGTGGTAGTGTAGATGAGCAATGGGATCAGATTAGACGAGCAATGCACTCCGCAGTGATGATCAGTTGTGGATCTGAGCTTCAAGCCCGTCCGAGGCATTGAATATCTGATGAATCAGTAGCCCTGATGAATAAAACACAATGGCAAATCTCAACCGCTTGGAATCCAAGCAGGGGTAAGTGGCGTCTGCATCGTCAGCTCACGAAGAGTATCAAGAAAGGCCGTGAGAACTGGTGGGCAACGATAGCTAGTGAAATGGAAATAGCAGTTATACTGGAAAGGAGTAAAGACTGTTCCAAGTGATATGCAACACGGGAGGTCGGCAAACCCCAGCTGGTGAAACAATCTGCGGCAAAGTGGACAAGCTATTCACAATAGGGAACAACGGCTTGGCCGGTGGGCGGAGTATTTNAATAAACAGTTCACCTGGCCAGGCGCTAGCTACACTATACCGTCTGTTGTACCTGAGGTAACGTGGGCAGAGTCATCTGAACCGCCTACTGAAGTAGAAGTACGACCTTGCAGCACAGTCATGAAGAAAGAAAAGGCAGCAGGGCCTCTTCCCACTCTTTTCGAGATGGAAGGCGATGAACTCGTAGACGCCATAACTGATTTAATGCATAACATCTGATTACAAGAGTGCGTTCCATCATCATGGAGCGAATCACTAATCGTTCCAGTTGTAAAAGGCTCTTGCAACGATTGCGCAAACCATCGTGGAATTAGTTTGATTCCAATCGTTATCAAATTATTAGCTTCCGTCATTCCTCGACGAATGACACCATTTAGGGAAAAGAATATTCGCGAGCAACATGCAAGATTTCAACCAGGTCGCGGTTGCATCGACCAGATATTCATTCTGCGCCAAATCCTCGAGCTACGCCACACACCGGTGACCAACGGTTGTCGTGTTCCTTGACCTACAATGAGCCTTTGATTCAGTTGCCCGCGAATCCTTTATGGGTCCGCTCCTTCATAAAGGAATGCCGCAAAAGTATTTGAACATACTGGGTTTACTCTATTTGTATACTTCTTGTAGCGTAAGTATTTACGAGCTGAGTAGGCCGTTAACCACTAGAAGCGACGTTTGTCAAGAGTGCATTCAATCACCATCTCTGTTCAACTTCGCAATAGACGAAGTACTGAAGTGCACACTAAGTGGTCTCCACACCCAGCGTAGTGCGGCTTTAAATGATTCAGAAAGTCTCGGG